GCCTGCTGTGTTCATCCAGCTCTACACCTTGTTATCTCTTATTCTTAGGGGTTACCATTTATGTACCTATGATAGCACGATGAAGTTTAAAAAGGCAAAATTGCAATTATGCTCCGATGCCGTGTATAATTCCCTATTTATACTGCATTCAATGTATCAGTTGGGTCAAATCACCTTAAGTTGCATTCTTGCAGGAATGAGAGACTAATGACAGGCTTTCAGCCAATGACATCTCCAGAAAATGATATCTCTCTTTGCTGGCTGAGCCTAGGCAGAGATAATATTTGTCGTCTTTATCCATTGAAGAACTTTGGGTGAAGATTTCCTTTTGGTTATTTTTGGTGAAATCATAAACCCACGTGTAAAGATTGCATTTAATATTTTGCTTGAAGTAATGAGTGAGGAAACCTTTCCTTATTTTTCAAGCTTTGGTCAAAGTTTAAGAAAGATTTTGGAGGCGACGGATGGAGGTTTAGTAATTCTGGACAGTGAGATCTCAGTTGCTCAAGGCCATCAATGGTTGGTGACAGAAGGGCAATCAGAGGAAAATTTTGGATGTGGTGCTTAGAACCGGGGAAATTACAGTTATACGAGGCCATGAAGTGATCTAAATGTGGGAATAAGAATTTTTAAATATAAGACCTTCACTTCCCTCCCCCTCTCTATTTTATCATTACTTCTTTCCCACCTTTCTTCCACTGATCTCTCCAATTGTTATCCCTCACTCACTTTCAATGTTTAATTTCCCTGCTGGAGAGAATTGCATAAAGGTCTGTTTTGTGGACGGAATGCAGTTATATTTAGTTATGTTGCAGCTAGCTTGAGTCCAGTGTTTACAGGGAAAGCTGTGCTCTTCACAGTGACCCTGGTGGACCCCAGGAAACAACATGAAACCCAGGACCAGCACCCATTTACTGTAAACAGGTTCACTACAATTGCAATTGAAAATTAATTTCTTATACACTAATGAATATCTATCTTTGATAAACGTTCAAAGCAGAATAAGATACAGAGTCATCAGTTTGGTGTGCACAAGACTGTGCTAGCAAAGATCTGGCCCAGAAACAATTGGCTAATAGCCTCCTTCTGTGCGGTAAAGTAGTAAATAATAATAAGTAAATAATATTTTACCACGTGACCTGCAAGTCCAAATTTATCAAATATTCTTCAGAAAATAAAATCTGTAGTCAGGAGATTTCTTCCTGAAGCTGAACCAGATTAGATGCTGTTCAAACAGTTGATGAAGCGATTAATCCCATCAACATTTTCAAGTTGCCCTCTGGTTTCATTCAGATGGTAGGAATGAAAATTCAGTGTCATGTTTGCCATCTAATTCTATGATGGAAACGTTGGACACTGTTCAACTTTAAATTCAGAGCATGACTGAAAGCAGTTTCCTTTTTTAAGGGCCAACAGTTTATAGGCAATGAAAATAATGAATTGACTTCAGAATTATTACCGGCTGTTTTCGGGCTGGCTTTATAAATGAAACAGAAAATGGAAAGAGAAAGCAATGTGAATTTTGAAAGCTAAATCTTTAAGAGTTTGTGTTTGTGAAATTGTTTTTTGATGCAGAGTATATAATTATATATGTATACATTTCTGCTGTTCCTACAAGATATCCTTTGTTATCTCCATACTTAGTTGTTCCAATATAATTTAGGGCAGACTTCCATCTTTCACTCTTGAGAAACTCATCAAAAGCTCTACTGTCTGTCCCACACCAAGGGGGCAATTTTACGACACCTTTAATAATGGCCTGGAGGCAGGCTGGCCATGTCATTGGGTGCCGTGGTGACTGCCCATTGGCTACCTGACTCCACTGGTACTTTACCATTGGTTGGGGAGACATCAGGCAGTCTGCCTGCTCTTGAGTTGCAATTCCAGCCACGTTAAGGCCTCTTCCTGCTGCAATGATCTCAAGTCTTCCTGACTCTATAATCTCCGTTAGCTTTGCTACGTTAGCTCCTGGAACTCTCATCATCTTGCACGTTCCTCCCTGAATACAGCCTGGCCAAGATTCCCCCGTGGTTACAGTTCCAGAAGGAATACCCCAAATTGTCTAATTCATGAGTAAGGAGGAATGAATTGATTCTACTTCTTTATTCATCTGCCTCTTTGTTGGATACAACAAGGTTAAATTTACAAACAGACAATTTTCTGCCAAACCGAATGAATTTGTTTCTAGAGGAACCACTTTAACCAGACTTTCTTGAAATAACAAAAAAAAAATTTAATAATTACTAAATGTGAGAAGAAATGGTAACACAACATACATATTAGAAATAAGAAGTGAGAAAGTCAGAAATAAGAAAGTAAGAAATAAGAAGTGAGTCCAAGAAAGGTAAAAGTCAAAAGATACCTAATTCAGTCACTGGGTCGTTAGTGGAACAATCGATTTTGAGATTCTTGACTTTGGATGTTAATTGAAATCCTTTATCCTGTCCCTTTTTCGACTGGCTAGTTGGCTTTCAACTTCAAGTACTGAAGATTGAACTTCCACATTACTCCACTTCCTTTGTGTGATTCCCCTACTATCCGCTGTTCTCTGCATCTGAATTTGGACACCCCTCCACACCTATCACTGGATCCTGCCAGGCTGGCCTCACTGAATACCTAGACTTTCCTGGCTCCCTAGATCCATTGCAGCTCTCTTTTGGGGACGGCATGTTAGTCCCAGCAGTGGCCACTGCTCCTGGTGGCACTCCTGTGACTTGCAAGCTGCCAACCATGTGATTGGCCGGCATCCCTGGGAGGCGGGACTTCCTCCCAGATGGAGGCGATTTCTCACTAAGCAATACTGCACCATTTAGTCACTGTAGGATGGTCTACCCAAGGGATGGTAGGATTGCCCACAATTTGATGTTCTGTTGTGAGGTACATCTCCATGTAAAATTCAAGACAGCTCAAGTCTCATTCACCTTTTGTGTTTACACAGTTCCAATGGCTCCAGATCCTACATTTTGAATTTATTCTTGTGTAAATCCTGATGGACTCACCCCTTCCCTAACCCTGTAACTCCCTTCTGTAGGGGAGATAATGGCCTAGTGGTATTTATGGCTAAACTATTAATCTAGTAATGTTCTGGGGACTTGGGTTCGAATTTGAATTCAATACAAAATCTGGAATTAAGAGTCTATGATGACCATGAATTCCATTGTCGATTGCTGGAAAAACTCATCTGGTTCACTAACGCTATTTAGGCAAGGAAACTGCCATCCTTTAAAAGGTCCAGACCCAGAGCAAGATGCCTCTCGGAAATTAGGAGTGGGTAATAAATGCTGGTATGGTCAGTGATGCCCACATCCTGTGAATAAGTAAATAAATAAATTTTCCACCAGCGCAACATCTTTCCCAGAGCTCTCATTAGTTCTCACTTTCTCCCCTATGCAAACTTTCCTTCATCCTTCACCTCATTATTGGCAACTGTGCCTTCAGCTGTCAGGTCCTCCCTGAATCTCTGCACCTCCCTCTCCTCCTCAAAGCAATAGTGACAACGACAACTTTCATTTATATTAAGCATCTAAAGGTGTGCTTTCAAACAAACATTTGACCATTTGGAACACAATTCACTTCTCCTCCTAATATGCCACTTTCTCAATAATTGTATTAATAATGTCTTTATGAAACAACATGAGACCTAGGTTTACATTAGAGGTGCTATGTAAATGCAGTTTTTTGCTATTTCCACTGTTTAATCCAAGGCATGCATTGTTTACCTTTGATGTGGTCAACAGTACAGTGTGGCTTTTATTTTGAGTGCAGAACTGATTAAAAGGAAGCCTTGGAAAACTGGATCAAAAACA